GAGGAGAACCTCCCTCGCCCTGCTGCCCACACTCCTCCTCATGCACCCCAGGATCCCATCGGCCTTCTTGGCAGCCAGGGCACGCTGCTGGCTCATGAAGCTGGGAGGCTCGTGTGTGTTTGGTATGGGGGGGAGGCAGGGTGCTCCTTTGGATGTGCAGCCTTGTTGCCGCTAAGGTAGATGCTTCGGGCGAGCTCCGTGTGCTGCAGTTTCCCTCTTCACAGCTCTTGTAAGGTGCCCTGCGTTACAGCACTGGCATCTGGGGGGAGTGTGCGTCCTTACTGTCCTAAAAGAATATGAGCTTCCAGGTAAGGCAGAAATGCTGAGTTCAGCTCTGCCTCAGAGGAAAGTTAGTGCCAGCTGGGGGAGAGAAGGAAGATCTTTTCAGTCACTGAAATGAGGACCCTCAGAAGCAGAGAGCCTGGGAACACCGAATGTTCAGCCTCTGTCTTCTTCCAGAAGAAAATTTTATTTTGATGGAAATACAGAGGTGTGGGAAGCTGAATTTACTCCTGGGGTCGTATTTGAACCCTCACATTGCCAGCAAGTCACAGGAGTCCTAGGCTATCTTCACTGTCCCAGAAATGACTGAGGTGCCCTAGCACACCTTGGTATTGAAAGGAGAAAGCTTCTCCCTGCGTCTGAAGGGCTGATGCTGGGTGCAGCTTTGGAGGAGTGGGAAGAGCTAAAGCCACGCTTGTGGACTTGAAGGTATCTCTGTGCATGGCTTCTTCCTTCAGCTGTGCCTGCTCGAAGGGGTTTTATTCCTACCGGGTCTAGATCCAGCCTGAGCCCGGGGCCCCGACAGCGAGAGGGTCCAGCGGAGAAGGTGGTCCCATGGGAGCCCCTGCAGCTCCCCGTTCCCAGGGATGCCGGCGGGGACTGACACTGCGGAGGCAGGAGATGGCCAGTGGCTGGGGGGGGATTTCCCAGCCTCTCCAGCAGAAAAGCAGAGAAACGGCTCAGAGTGTGTTTCTGTGCTTTGCTGGCTGTCGTGCAGAGCAGGACTGCTGGCTTCGGGCAAGACAGCTGTGCTGGATCGCAGGAAACATCTGGCCGCGGTCTCATGCGCTGTCTGACAGCGGTGAGCGGGCGTCGTGCCCACCGTGGCGTACCCTGACTTGCTCTTCCAGTCTCTTGGGCGCTCCAGCTCCGGGCCCTGTCGTGTCGGAGGGTCCTGGCCCTGGCTGCGGTGCTTGCCCTTCTTCTGACGGGCTTTTCTCTTCACCCGCAGGCGCTGTTCGTGGATAACTGGCGCGTCCTGCACGGCCGGGAAGCGTTCACCGGGTACCGCCAGCTCTGCGGCTGCTACCTGACGAGAGATGATGTGCTGAACACCGCGCGCTTGCTGGGACTCCAGGCTTAGCCCCGTCCACGCTCCGCGGAGAGGCGGGCGGGCAGGCCTCCAGCACCACCACGACGAAGACATTGCGCATACCTCAGCCCCCTCTGCCCTCTCCGAGCAGCTCTCGCTGCCTGCTCGGGGGAGGGAGCAGGTGGAAGCCAAAGGTTACGGGAGCTTTGTGGGACCGCATTCTGCCTCGGAGCACAGTCAGCCCGTGCTGCCTGCGCGCCCAGCCTGGCCTTTCCAGCCAGCCAGTGTGTCGCTGATCACACCGTAGGAGTGCTCCCAGCGCCTGCTGATGTGGAGTGCTCCTCCAGTTAAGTGCCTTCAGGATTTGAAATCTCTGCTTTTTTCCCCGTTCTTCAGCCTTTTTGTCAGCTGGCAGCTCTAGGCCTTTTTTTAACAGAGCGCAATGGAAATCTCTGGGGTCTTGTCTCACCCCAGGCTGGACTTCACCTCTTGTAGAAGAAAATTAAAATCTGTGGTCCCTGTCTGATGAAAATGCCGCTCCTCAGGCTGAGGGCTGTTGGCGTCTTTCAGTGACGGCTTTCTTAAACGTGCTGCGTACCCCGGTGACAGTCACTGACACAAGCCAGGCTGCCTGAGGGGTGGACAACCTGGTATAGTTAGGGCATTTTAGAAAAGATTTAGGTTAGAGGGAAAGGGGGAGGTATGAGATCTGTGTGTTGGGAAGGAGAGATGACTGTTAGATGAGGATGTGAGGGATGTATTGCTCGTGTTTCCCTAGTTCCCAGTAACGGAGCGCGTGTGTTGCTGCTGCCGGTCGCACTCTGCTTCTGTCAAGGGCGAAGGCGCAGCAGGTACAGTATTTGCTGACAAATTTCCTGCTGCGCCTGCTCTTTCCTCTTTTCTAAAGAAGGAGTTTGTGTTAGGGCATCCCTCCATGGCTGCTCGAGGAGGCTGGCCGTTGGGATGTTCTCACCAGATGCTCCTGCGTGTGGAGGTGCTTTGCAGCTCCTGGTAGTGGGGAGGGTAAATTGGAGTCTGCCACCGCGTAAGGAACAAAAGCAAATCCTGTCGTTGTTAGAAATGTTGGAATTTTAGAACCAAGAGGAGATTTTAGGTTTTGTTTATTTTTCATCCTTCCGTGTCTTTGGGCACGTTCACTCTGCTCTGACTGGATCTTACACCAGGGCCCGTCCCTCTCACTCCTGGCTTTCCTCTGCCAGCGAGATGCTCTGGTGTCCAAGGGACAAGTGCAGCGCAGATGCGTGTGTGCTAAACTTGCTGCCCTTGATCAATCTGAATGCTGAATGCAAGACCCTGGTGCTGAGACCCTCCTGAAAGCTGCTCCTCGTGGGGGCTGAGCTGCCTGGTGCTGGTGTTGCCCAGCTGCTGTGAGCCGCTGCTGCCGGCCCCGGGAGCTGGAAGGGGTTTCTGGGAGGCTTGGTGGGAAGCTGTTGGTCAGAGGACATGCGAGAAGGTGAAGCGTGAGCGATGGTGGCAGGTCATGGAAGCTTGCAGTGAGCTGGCTTTGCCAGGTACATCTCCCAGGGCCTGTGATCGGCAGCCTCCGACACAGGCAGGAGCTTAGATTTTCCTCTCGGCTGAGCCAGTGGACTCCTTGAGCAGCCTGCAGCGTAGATCCTGGTACTTTTTGTCAGGCACTTTGTCTGTAGGTTCTCCTTCGGTGCCAGTTACGCCAGCAGAACTTGGATGGGAAGTTTTACAAATCTTCATTATCCCGTCGCGGTAGGAAGCGACAGCAGCTGCGCACGCTGTCCCTCGCGCAGCTCAGACGTTCCAGGGCTGGCTTCACCCTGTGCTCGGGGGTGGAGCGGTGGCCTGGAGCGCAGGGGAAGAGGTGGTGACGAAAAACCACCCCTGTGTCAGCTGGCAAAGGAGGGGACGAAGGACCCTGGTCAGTATTTGAAACCCTTAGGCAGTGGAGCCCCCCCCTCTTTCAAATTTTTTGAGGGTATCAAGGGTTTCCTGGGCTCTTTTTGTCTCCCTGTGCCCACAGGGTGCGGGGGAAAGCGCTTGGATAATGCGGAAAGCTTCCCCTCGTCAGTGAGATCGGGTTTACCTTCCCCTGCTCCGGGGACCGCCGTCCTGATCAGCTGCAAGCTGAAAATCTGCCGCTGCCCCGAGCTGGAGCGCGCAGAACTGGCTGGCACACGGGAGAACCGACCCGAGTGTGGTGGTGACAGATTGTCGCGACGTGGGCACCTGTCTGGTGAGGGACGGGGTGACTGGAGCTCTGCCTCCGGCTGCGGTCTCCAGACACCGACCTCCTCTTCTGAGCCACCTCCAAGGCACCGCGCTCCTCGGGGCGGTTCCGTAATCTGCCTCATCGGTATCGTTCAGATTAATTTAGCCGCCCCAACAATAAAATGTGGAGTGGAGAGAGCTTTGAAATCCTGTGCTTCGCCTCCCGCCACTCCCCAGGGGAGCGAAACTCCTCCTTGGCAGCTTGTGAGCGTCAGAACTGGACTTGAAGGCCCAAGACTTCTCGGCAGGTGCCCCCCCCCTGGGGCGCGCGCTGGGTTTGGCC